CCTCAAACTCCTGGGCTCAAGAGATTCTCTTGCTTCAGCCTATCAAGTAGCTGGGACTATAGGCACCCACTACAATGCTCGGCTATTTTTTATTTTAGTTGTCATTGTTGTGTAGCAGGCCCAGGCCAGGTTTGAACCCAACAGTCTCGGTGTATGTGGCTGGTGCTGTAACCACTGTGCTATGGGCGCTGAGCCTGTGGTTTCACTTTTTGAGGTTTCAGTTACCCATGGTCAACCATAGTCCCAAAGTATTAAATGGAAAATTCCAGAAATAAACAATTCGTAAGTTTTAAATTGTGTACTGTTTTGTGTCGCATGATAAAACCTTGCTTGCTTATTCCATCCTGCTGAGTCCTCCCTTTGTCCAGCATATCTATGCTGTATATACTGCCCACCTGCTTGTGCCTTAGCAGCCACTTCAGTTATTAGACCAGCTGATGACAGGATTGCAGTGCTGTGTTCAAATTACCCTTATTTGACTCTGTAAGAGCTCCAAATTGCAAAAGCAGGGAAATATATATAGAGAGAGATAGAGGGAGAGAGAGGGATGGGGGAGAGAGAGAGAGAGAGTGAGACTGCTACTATCTGTAATTTCAAGAATCTACTGGGTGTCTTGAAGCAAAAAGCCCACGGACGAGGGGTCTACTATAATAATTCTCATCTCCTCCCAAACCTTTGCCTTGCTCTGAACAAATAACTGCACTGCAGCCAAGATCCACTAAAGAAATAGAAACTCAGTGGCTGATCCTCTCCTGTGAGTCTCCGTGAGTGTACTGGGAATTGGTCAAGGTTTGGCAACTCTTGAAATTTCACATGCCAGCTTTTTGTTCCTCTAACATGCTCCTCTATTCACCTCTCTTTCTACCTATGTCCAAGCTGTCTGTTTCAATTCTTGAGAAGCCGCATAAATTTCACCGTATATCAGATCATGTACTTGCTGAATTGACTCATCTTATCCACACAGTTTCAAACATGTGGCTATTTAATTAAAGCTTTTGACTGATGATTTCAACAGATAAAAATGGGGAGGATTCAGCACCATACAAACTTGGTAAGAGCCTCACCGTCTGGTTAGAAGAGGTCACTCAGACTAGACCAATTCAAAAGTTGGCCCATGTAGGAGGTGGTTAACAATTAAAGACTCTCCAAAACGTTTAGCAGAGCACTAACCAAGCAGCTGGTATTTCAGAAATTTCAAGAAACTAAAGAAATGACCTCACTGTGTCTTTATTATCTAAATCACCCCCTGCCCCTAAATAATTTTTAAATCAGACACTGCTTTCTGAAAGATCTTTTCAAATGTCTTTTAAGACACCATGATGGTACATAAATCCTTTCCTCTTGTGTACAGGATTAAAAAGTATAACTATTCTGGTTGAACACAATCAAGATTAAATTTGTAAAAGAAAAACTTCCTTTTATCCATGTTGCTGCTCTTCTCCTGAAGAGCTCCTCAGTAGCTAAAACAAGCTCTAAAAGCAAACTTTCCCTCCATTCCAGAAAAGAGGGGAATGTGGGGCCTCTTGACCTATAAAACTCAATATTTTGGAACGTCCATAATTTCCCCAAGTCTGTGCCAGTCAAGTGGAGACTCCTTTTAGCAAACTACCAGCCAGACAGGGCTGGAGAGTAAGGCTTTCATCCCTAGGAGTTGACAAGGACAGGGCCCAAAAGCTCCCGGAGGGGGTGAGGGGAAGCTTACATTACATTACATTACAACTGTTGGGAAAGACAGATGGAGGGGATGACAAGAAAAGCAATTATTTCTTCTGGGCTTCCTTTCTGTCTGGACTCTAAGGAGACAAATACAAAATTGTATCACAGATTGAAATGCTATCTAAACATTCTTGAAAATGTGGTCTTGCTCTCTGAAATACGACCTGCTGTGCTGCAGCAACCTGCAACCTATTAATATGTGATGGTGGGAACACTGACATTCCTGCAGGCTGTCTACTTCTGGGCCTGACTCTCCAATACTGCTAGTTTGTGACCCGTGGTTTAAAACATAAATAACAAAAAATATATATCTACACGGTATGACCCAACAAAATGTCCTGATGAATCATTTTATTTTCACATTCTTGGAATTTTAAGAACCTGAGACTCTCTTAAGTATTTAAAAGTTTTGAGTGAGCCATTTTAAATGTAGGCTGAGTCACACTGAACAGTAGCACTATTATTCTAAATAGTAGTAAGTTGGGAGCATTCATGCACAAAGTTTTAAAGCATTTTAAGTAATACACGCTGATCAAAATATTTTTGTGGTTAAGGGCTTTTGCTTATTTATAATTAATAAATAATCTCATATAAACCAAATATTCAACACAGTTGAACAAAATATTATTGCATGTGAACTGTATGTAGTGAAATACAAAGGTGACAAAGATATAGTTCTTCCCTCCAGTGAACTTATAAACTAGTCAAGGAGACAAGCTGTGTTCACTAGTAAGTTAAGGAAAACCCCAAAAGCCAAATGAAAAGTACAAGAATAGGGCTGTAAGGGTTTATGAGAAGAAGGAACATACATTTAACTGCATGATCCTGAGTTGACAGTTTTCCCCTGAAAAATGAGAGGAATGGACCAGATGAGTCCCGAGCCCTCTCTAGTTCAAAAATTCTGGTTCCTTGGTGTGTCTAGATGAGGCAAACAGAAAATATTAAAAAAGAAGTGTCTGGAAATGTAGCTACCGAAAGGAAGAGGGAGGAGAAAGAGCATTTCAGGCCCAAGGACGTACACAAGCACGTGTCAGAAAGCACAGGGCATGCTTGTAGAACACAACAGGAGACAAAACTGGAAATGCAGACCATGGCGTGAATGCCAGGCAGAGGAGCCTGGATGTCATTTGGTAACCAGAAGCCACGGAAGTTTCTCAAGAAGGAGATAATATGATCAGAAATATATTAGGAAAGTTAACCAGCAGAATGAGGCTGGAGCATTTGCCTTATGACCTCGAAGGGCCCCCTTTCCATGGGCCTAACCGGCCAGTGAAGCAGTGCTTCATGGGAGACACTGCTAACAGACAAAAACAAGGCAATGAGGACTAAGGACTGTGCAAGAGTCCAGAAAACAGGATCAGTTTAATGAAACTATGTGTCTATAAACAAATACTGATGATAGCAAGGAAGAAGGTAGACTGTCTACAAAGAGGTCAATGGAAATTATTAGGTTGAAAAGGAAAGTTAGTAATAAAATGCAAGAAAATTAGAGCAATAAGTAAAACTAAAAGTATAAAAAGACTCATAACCCCTCTAAGCTACCTACCAGGAGAGGAAAGAGCAATATTAGAGATAAGGGAATTTAACAAAGGCTCATATCCTATCCTTGCCCCAAATATGGGCAGCATAATGAACATGGTTAGAAATTAGTTGCAGTAGGCTGCGGTGGTTCACGCCTGTAATCCTAGCACTTCACAGGCTGAGGTGGGTAGATTGCCTAAGCTCACAGTTCAAGACCAGCCTGAGCCAGAGTGAGACCTCGTCTCTAAAAAAATAGCCAGGCGCTATGGTGGGTGCCTATAGTCCCAGCCACTTGGGAGGCTGAGGGAAGAGAATTGCTTAAACCCAAGAGTTTGAGGTTGCTGTGAGCTGTGACGCCATAGCACTCAACAAAGTGAGACTCTGTCTCAAAAAGAAAAAAAAGAAAGAAAGAAATTAGTTGCACTAAAAAAATGCCCAAGATGGCCAGGTGCAGTGGCTCATGCCTAAAATCCTAACACTCTGGGAGGCTGAGGTGGAAGCACTGCTTAAGCTCAGGAGTTTAAGACCAGCCTGAGCAAGAATGAGACTCCATCGCTACTAAAAATAGAAAAACCAGTGGGGCTGCACCTGTGGCTCAAGGAGTAGGGTGCTGGCCCCATATACCAGATGTGGCAGGTTCAAACTCCCCCTGCCAAAACCTGCAAAGAAAAAAAAAAGAAAAGAAAAGAAAAACTAGCCAGGTGTTTTTAGTCCTAGCCACTCAGAAGGCTGAAGCAGAAGAATTGCCTGAACTCAGTAGTTTGACGTTGCTGTGAGCTATGATGACACAACACTCCAGCCTAGGCAACAGAGTGAGATTCTGTCTCCAGGGGGAAAAAAAAAGTCCAAGAGGAGAAATAATGGAACTGAAGCTATCACAAAGGCACACTCCTGACTAATTGGATGAAAAGGGAGGAGGACTAGAAAAGGCATTGTCCACAGTGATTTCTGAAATATGCCTCAACAGAAGAACAGAATCCAAATAAAATGGAAAATGGTCACTAGGTAACTTCTAGGTAACTACTAGGTAACTTCAGGCATTGAAGATTATCTCCTTCCCACACACTTCTTTCCTCCTTCATTCCCTTCCAATAGCCCTCCTTAGCTAGATCCAAAAAGACTAGTCAAACTTTGACATGGATCTTCAGTTACCTATTTGACAGCAAAGTTAGGAATGAGAAATTGTAGCTATGTCAGGTCACCATCTTTTGAAGCAACATAAGTAATATCAAAACCCCAACAACTAGGACCTCCCTCCCTTGGGGTTATGGGGGGTCTATTTACTCCTCAGCCAAGGAGGAATCCAAGATCAGCCCTTGAGGATCATCAATAGGAGACTGCCACAAGGTGGACAGCCTTGTTTACCTGCCTAAGACATTTAGAAAACAAAAACAAAGAACCCAACAACTTCACTGACAGACAAAAGCAGCAATCTTATTTAGCTATGGTGCACAAAATAAAGGCTGGTACAAGAGATCACTAACACTACAAAAAGAAGGCAAGGAAATTCCAGTCTTCTCATTTTGGCCTGTGTGCATGCCCCTGGCCCCAGGTGAATGGTGCTACAGCACATGCTCCAGGTTCAAGGGCAACTGAGTGAGAACTCATGGTTGCTCTGGGCAGCCTATGCAGTCCTGCTGTGTATAAAACAGAACAATCAGAAAGTGCTCTGCAAAAAGACACATCAACATTTTGGCCACTTGGTTGTTGGAGCTTGAAGAAATCAGGGGTACAAAATTAAAACGAAGGAGTAAGTTACTTACTTGCCTTCCATCCTGTCCCACGTTTGTCTGACCTCTTACAACAGTTCGAATATTGTCATCCAGTCTCCTAGCAAAAAAATTAGGATACAAGTCATTCAAATAATCTCTATTCTAGGTCGACCGAAAGAAAAACAAAAGTTAGTAATTTATCCATCAACTCCTGCAGATTGCAGCTACTTGTTCAGAAAACCAAGCAAGTGTGAGTGATATAAGAAAGAACGAAGCCTGGGACCTCAGGGGGCAGCAATAATAGTGCAGGGAGCCAAGACTGATGAGTTGCCTTGTTTTTAAAAACGATTATTTTCACTTAATAGTCAGAGCTGTCCAAAAGGACCAATAAAACTTTTTAGTATTAATATTTTTCACGGAGCAAATCAGGAATGACAGAGTGGCTGAAACTTTACAGGAACAAGCCAGAGAATTCAAATTACTCCACACAAAATCCCTTCCTCAGTAACTTCCTCAATACCCTTAAAAGGGAGAAGGAGCCACAGTGATAGATGAAATCACTGCTCACCTTCTGGGCCCTGATCACGTACAGCTTCCAGCTCCTCTCTCCCCTGTGGCTCAACAGGGGATAATTAATGGTACCTCCGTCAGAGGAATTTCTATCAGTCTATCTCATTTTTCATTTGAAAACTCCATCAAAGGTATGGTAGGGAGAAAGTGGAAAACAACTAGCTTGCAAGTGGTTTTTGGATCATCAGAGAATTTCCATGTTCTATGCAAACCCTGAACAACTTAGTAGTCCACTAGGATTGTTATAGCCAAAGTTCAACAAAAAAAGAAGTCTTCTCTGTACTTGTCAAGACACCAATGGAACAATATATTCATAGGTCAGAGGTCTTCACTGCAAGACCTAAGGCTTGTAGGGGAAAAAAGTCATCTTGGCCTGAGAGCGATGGCTCACACCTGTTGGGAGGCCAAGGCAGATGGACTGCCCCAGTTCATGAGTTCGAGACAACCTGAGCCAGAGCAAGACCTCGTCTCTACAAGTAGCCAGGCATTGTGGCAGGTGCCTATAGTCCCAGCTACTTGGCAGACTAAGGCACAGTGGGCTAAGAACCACTTGAGCCCAAGAGTTTGAGGTTGCTGTGAGCTACGACACTACAGCACTCTACTGAGGGTAACAAAGTGAGACTGTCTCAAAAAAAAAAAAAAAGTCATTACCTGGATTTATGAATGCTTTTCCTCATCAAAAGTTAAGAACAAAACAAACAAAAGCCCAAAAACTATATCTGAAGCGATGACATCAACCTATTTGTATAATGAACAGACACTTCTGACTACCTACCACGTCTCAAAACTGGAAATCCAGACATGGGGAAACCAGAGCAAGCTTTAGGTAGGAAGGACACAAGATGATTAATCCTGGGCCACCACCAAGGCCAACCAGCAGATCTAACATCGTCAGCTAGCGTGTTACCAAAGGATACACATACAAGCCAATCTTCATTTCTCACTAGGGAAATAAAACTATTAAAGATATAGTAGAAAAGCCTTTGTGCCTCCTTCTACAACTGTTTTGAATAGACTCTGTTACAGTATCCTTCCTTTTTTATGAATTGAAGACTGGCCAAAGAATTGAGTTCCTTGCTACAAGGTTCACATGGAAACCCAGATAAAAGAATAATTTTTAAAGAAATTACTGTCTATGATAAACTTGATATTTTAGAGGTCTCACAGAAAACTGTGATCCGGAATGTGATTAACTAAATTAACAACACACTTTCCATTCATTATGAACAATCATACAGTTTGACTTACCTTATTTTCAGTCTAATTTTGTTCACGACTTCATCTATGTTTGCCAGAGACTATAACAAAGAAGAAGAATGCCCAGCTGTTATTCCACTT